TTGAGTTTAGACTTTACATGTAAAATTGATTTATCTAAGAAAATAAAAAAAAATTTTCATATGAGGGTATAATAGTAAATTAATTTTTATCTCTCCTCCCCTTCCCTCCCCATCGCCATCACCCTCACCCTCCCTCGAACCAAACATAGCCCTATTCTTCCCCTCATATTCAAACTGAAAATGTTTCTTGTTGATGAGGATAGTGGTGTTCCAATAACAACTTTGCCATCGCTAGTGTTACTAAGTGGCAAATGTAACATCCTGAATTCTTAATTTTGAAATTAATTACTAAAAGAGGTGAATTAGTAATTTGTTAGGGTTTTCAGTGAGGGAGCGTTGTTTTGACCCCTTGGGATGTTGCATGGATAGATTAGAGTGGAAGAATGGCATTGTGAAGTAGAGCGTGTGAGTGTGGTGAGGAGTTTCCTCATTGTGCCATGTGCTGTGGCTAATGTTGAGTGTGCCATGGCGCATGGCACAGAATTTGCTTTATCATTATGTAGAACAGCTTTTGAGATCAAAGGAAAGAAGAGGAAAAGAGGCACAAGGAAAAGAAGAGAATACCAAACTCTACTAGGGCAAGTGTTTTCAGGGGCTAGGATGATATTTCTAACTTGTTACTTATCGAGTAAATCTCATATAGCCTTAACCTCTGATTATATACTAATTTCTCTTAGTTTAAGCTATTGAAAAATTGAATCAGGAAGTTTTAAGGGGTTGATTTCTTACCCAATAATAATAAGAAGGCTCTTCAAAGTTAAGCTAGGGCTTTGCAACTGATTTGAGCTTAAATGATAAAGTTTTAAAGTTGTAGGCTCAAATTAGTCAGATTTAGAAAGAAAAAATAGGTGAAATTTAGGAATAAGCTTGCTAATGCTTGCTATAAGTGGTAATTAGGTGTAGGATGTGTGAATGGACTTAGATGAGGGAAATGATAGCATTTAGATATTTAATTGTTAAAATTGGTACTTTTAGTCAATGTGGTAATTGACTCTAATGCCAATTTTGTGTAGATTGTTATTGGTAACGCGTGAATTGAGCAAAAGAAGTGCGAATAAGGAAGTGTACCATGGCTAACATTTATTGAGAACAGAAGGGTTGATATAATCATATAGCTTGCTATATTTATTAACTATTATAGCTGCATAAAAATAAATATATAATTGTGATTTTAATGTTTGGGGGTTTCTGTGCATTATTTTGCAATATGAATGGTTTGGCACTTTCAAATGGTTTTGAAGTGCTTATTGAATGACTATTAGTTTCCAAACGAAATGGATATATATATATATATATATATATGTATTGTGTAATATGTGACAAAAATGGTGATTTATGAGTGATAAAGGTATGATCATAGTGGATGAGAGTTTACCTTGTGTGGGTGTAGGTGTGGGTATAGGTCTAGAGATGTGTGTGTAAACAAATATATATGGTCAGGTAAGCACCATGGGACATCTGATACATCATTATATTGAAACTATTGCCATGAGACATTCAGGCAGTCTGACAACTCCCTAATGTCTGTAAGGATGCGGATAGGAGTCAATGACGCCCTTATCATATATGTGTGTGAAGGGAGAAATCGTAGTCCAAAAGTAGGATAGAATAACTTTGGTTAAGTGTTTCTATTGTTGAAAGTGTGCTTGAGTTAATATACGATTGATCCATTAGATTGTATGATTTCAAATCAAGGAATTTTAGAGGTTTGGTGGATAGATAATCATGCTAGTGTTGTGAATATGAAAATATTTAGAAAAAGAAAAGTTATACTTACATTCGATATATTAACTATTATTTTAGTTTTTTTTATTTATATGTGGTTATTTGTGTTAATATACATTAAATGAACTATTTTTATTACTGAGATTGTTACCTCACTTGTGGTTATTTATATTTTTACAGGTTCTGACACTAGTAGTGCGAAAGGGAAGATATGAGCCGAGACTAGAAAATATCTCCTTTTAATTGCCTACTGTAAGGAGTTGGTGTAATGAATTTGTGTTATATAATTTGTGAAATTATATAAGTTGCCATATGAATATATAATTATGCATTGGCTTGTGAATGCAAAAATGTGTGTAATTTTGTATTCTAGCCTACTATGTGTATGTGTATATCTTTAAGGTGAATGTGGTGATGTGGGCTTGGGATTGAGTACGAGTGCTTGTGGATAGAATTAATATGGGATGAATGTGAAAATTTGGCCAATGATGTGAATTAATATAGAATTATGAAATTTTGCCCAATTACGGGTGAAATAGGCCACCTGTCTGCCAAAGTTGTATATATGTATGTGAGTGGTCAATTTGGTGATAATTGTTTCCATTTGATGTGGTCAAGATCTAAAAGTAGCCAATGACTTATGGTTTCAAATGGTGATGCTCAAGTGGAAGGTTTTGACTTAAATTGGTCAAATTATACTTAGGTGTCTAATTTTCAAAGGAGAAATTGAATTTTGATGAAATTAATGTCATTGGTTAGATTTTAAAATAAGCTTTATATGGGTGCTCGAATCACCCTAATCGAATATCGAATGTGTAAACAGTGCGCATCAAAAGTTTGTATTAGAACTGCTATTTTGATAGCAGAAATTGATGTATGCGCTGCGGTACATGACACAAAGCCAATATTAGTGCATTTACGCTATATGCTGCGGTGCATGACCTTATTTTGCCTAAATTGTGTAGTTTTGATTTTCTTTTTGAGGTTTTCATACAAATGATTTTGTTGCTTCCACTATGTATTGATACTAACTTTTGAGTTTTTTGGAAGTTACAAAGTGTTGGGATCCCAATCCTTTTAAAGAATTTTATTCATAATTTAAGTGGTTGGGTGTTGAATGGTAATATTAGATAGGGCATTACAGCAAAAGTTCCACCAAGCTTGTTTGTTCTTCCCTTACGCCACTTTTTGTTCTCTATAATCTCTTGTAAAATTACCTTATTTAAGGTAGATTGCCATATGATGGCCATACTTGCTATAATGGAAGCAAACTAGATAAAGGCCCTCATAAGCAACATTATACTCCTCACCAACTGAAGTGAAAGATGGTAATGACTATTGGCTCTAATCCAATTCAACATAAACTTTTGCAAATCCGCCCTTATTAGAGATAGAAGGAGATCTATCAATCTTCAAGGTCCTTACAATGTTTCTAATCTACCAAAAAGACTCTACTTTGTATAACTCCAAAGGTAAATCAAGTATTTGGATCCAAGCAATAATTTTTTATTGCCGCTCAGCTTTCCATGAATTAAAATTTGGCTTCCATTTCTAAAGAAGTGGATAATGATTGTCAATCATCCATGGCCCCTCCTGATAAGCGTACTCCAAGTCCTCTTTTTCATAAATGAAACTACAAAATAACCATTATTCAAAGGTGTAATACGCATCAGATTAGTCAACTTCTATGTCTAAATTAGATGAGGTTGAAGAAATCTAAGAGGAATACTCTTGCCAAGCAACTTAATAGTGAACGAATTCATCCAAGGTTGACACTAAGCAGAATATTGTTCTACTGAGACTTTTAACTGAAGGCATTTAACCTTGTTTATAACCTCTATCATGCCATGTTTTCGCCCATTAATAATGTTAGCATTTTCTTCAATATGTGACAAGAACCCATATGAGTTTAGGCTAAAAAGGGAATCCCGATATGAAACAGTAGCCTTGGGGTTTAGCATGCTCGTATGTTTCTCATCACCGACCCCTTTTCCTTTCTCTTCACTAGAAACTCATTTGCTAGAAAAGACAGCCTTTGTCCTTACTCCCAATTCCTTCCTTTCCTCCTCAACCTTGTCCACCACTATCACTCCCTTCCCCATCACCTTCAACAACCGTACTCTCCATTCTCTCTCTCTCTCTCTCTCATCCCCTCATGCCTTCTTTCAATAAAAAAGAGAAATTTTTAAATTTTACTTTAGTTTAAGTAATTATTACTTTTCTTCTGATATAATTAGAACGAAATATGCAATTATAACTTTTGTTGTGCGAAATTTTTATTCACTAAAATTGTAATTTTTAGGGGAGAAGTTGTAATTATTTATTCTATTTTAATCATTATCAGAAGAAAAGTAATCATTGTTTAAACTAAATAATAACTAATATTTACTCTTTTTTTTAACCAGAGTCGTTACTTTTTTATTTTAAATTAGGGCTATTTTAGTACTTCGCTAAAAATGCTAATGTTGAAAGATCTCTGAGAACTTGAGAATAATTATTACATATCGTGGGGTCTTATTATCATGCATATATTTAAAAGAATTTTTTTATCATTTTTTCTTGACCATTTAACAAGAAAAATGTAAAAAAAAAAAGAGCAACTACATTTTGGTGCAAATTTGATGAGTAAACAAACTCTTTTTTAATACTTCATTAGGTTTAAAATATAAACAACTTTTAATAATAATATGCATACCAATAAAATTCTTGTTCATATAAAAATATTTATTATTTTTTATCCTTAATAAATACAATGTGTAAAATAAAAAGAAATCTACAACCACGTTGCTTATATTTTAGGCCAATATTAGTTAAAAGAAAATATTTATATTTTGAATTAAAAAAATATAGATAAAATAGTTATCAATTTTTTTCATTTAAGACAAGAGATTTCAATTTTTTAAAAAAAACATAATTATTAATCTATATAATTTGATCAGATTTTACTTTTAGTCTTTATAATTTTTTTTTAATATTTTCAATACACATTAAAACTATCAAGGCATGAATGGCAAATGTTACCAAATTTCGCTGAAACATAGAGATTAAAATTATTAAAAAATTATAAAATTTAAATTAAAACTCAATAAAATTATAAGTATGAATAATTATATTCTCTCGCTTTTTTTTTTTTTAAATCTTAACGGTACATTTTTCAGACAAGAAACTTATTAGTTAATTAGAAAGGTAAATTAAAATCAAAATGTTTCAAGTAAGAATCCAAAAGAATTATTACATTCCTATTAATCTTTTATTCAATTCTATCCTCCTCACCGGATCACCAATACAGACACATTCAATGGACCAAACCAAAGCCTCGAGGAGCCAAATTCCGATCATATAAAGCTCCCAATCGTATCTCTTCTGTCGCCTCTCCTGCTTTTTGTGTTTGGCTCTCGATCACTGCGTGAGTAGCCATGGCTCTACAACTATGGGAGACTCTTAAGGAGGCCATCGTCGCCTACACTGGTCTGTCTCCGGCCACCTTCTTCACCGTCCTCGCGCTGGTTTTCGCTGTCTACTATCTTGTTTCGGGTTTGTTTGGGTCCTCCGATCGTCGTCCCAGGGCCGATAGGGAAACGGAGGAACAGATGCAGCCTCTGCCCCCGCCTGTTCAGCTCGGCGAGATTACCGAGGAGGAACTCAAGGCCTATGATGGCTCCGATCCGAAGAAGCCTCTGCTAATGGCTATCAAGGGTCAGATCTATGATGTGTCTCAGAGCAGGTATGGTGATTCTGTTTTGTTGTAAGTTTAATTTTTGGTTCTTGATGTGAATATTATTGGTCATTTCTGGAATTTTTTTGGGTTATTCTTTTAGGTTTCTATGATTCCTTTTGGGTGGTCAACGTTTGTTCTGGATTCTGGCTGTTTTCAATTTTCGATGATTATGAATATCAACTGAGAAATTTTTGGGCTCCTTTTTCTGAACTTTTTTTTCTCTCTCTCTCTTTCATCTCTCTCTCATCCTGTGATGCATGCGCTTTTTTGACTCTTGGTCCCCTTTATTAGTTGATCAGGTTTCATGTGGTTTTGAAATCACGTTTTTGTTTCGTCTGTTGCTTCTTTTTCTCCGATAAAGACGATACGGTTCTCAAATTGTGGATTGATTTTATGGACAAGCTTTCATGTTATATTTGATCGGATTAGCCATTGGAAGGTTGAAAAGAATGGAGGAGTGTATACAATGAATATGTTTAGACTTGTGTTAAGTAAATCTTCTTTTCTCTCCTCTAATTCTATCCTTTCAAGCACGCCCTTCAGCCGAAAAATGGGTTTTCTTTGTTGTGCATCATCACGCAATTCGAACGGTTCCACATAGGATATATCAATAAAGTACCCCGTCATGAAAGGGCCATGTTTCACTGAAATTGAATGCTAAATTGGTGGTGGCCTTATTACTTTGATGTGACATATTATTGTCCTTTTTAACTAAATTATGTCTACAAAGTTTGCATGAAAATGTTTTTTAGTGCTCCTATTGTCTGACCTGGACATTATGTTATAAGGTGATTTTCTCTTCTATGTCTGCTTGGATGGTTGAATGATGAAGTTGCAGGGTTGGGGTTATCATCTCCCAGCTAGTTGTCCTATGAGATTAAGCGATGAATATGTGAATTTAAAGTTTGAATCGTTTAAGTCTCACAACTAAATAGATGTGATTAACTGATCTAGTAATTTATGGATAACAAGTGCATCTCAGACTGTTGTTGCTTACTGATCATTGTTTTCAATTTTGTAGTACCTACCATTGTTTACTTTTGGGGGTGTGGGAGTCTTCACTGTAATTAATCTGACTTTCCATTGGTTCCTTTAAAATAAATATAATCTTTATACCCTCGCGCTTCATTGAGCATGTGTCAGAATCATGGAGTAAGTTGTCCATTGTAAGCTGCAATGGTGTCTGGATGGTCTACTGTATTGGTGAGACTCAGCTCCATATGAAGGATGATTCTCCTTTAAGGAAAGGAAACTTCCTCTCTGACCCGAAAGGGTGACTGATTTCTCCCTTACTGGAGGCAGATAACTTTTCCTGAAATTTTACTCGCCAGCCAACGTCCCATCATACATGTTCTTTTGTCTCTGATAGCAATGATGGATATATATATGTATTATCATAAAGGTATTAAAGTATAAACTTTTGGAGGGCATGGTATGTTAGAGAAAACAAATAAATCATCTAATCATAGGAATGCGAACAAAAGCCCTATAATGATAATTGATGTGCACGAGCTATCCAATAATTGTACATGTCAGAAATATTTTCCTTTCAAAGACAAACAGTTCCAAGCATCAAAGAGAAGCTGCGTACAGCACGTGATGAAGGATATTGTGCATTCTTCATTCATGGAAAACCTAACTGTTTTTCCCTGATTGAAGCTTAAATTTGTTAGTACAATTACATTAACTTTTCTTCTGATTTCCTACTCTTATAGATGCAATTTCCTAGAATCTACTTTTCGCTAAAGAAAAAACGGAAGATGATACATGTTTAGGCTTGACAAAGAACAACCTAGCCACTGTCTTGTGAAATACGATTGAAATGCGCCAATTGCTAGTTTGTGAACCTTAGCACAATGGTATCATATAATTCATGTAGTCGATCCCACCTAGTAGAGTATGGTTTTTTGTACCTTAAGTTGATTATTAGTATAACTTCTTGTCTGACTGGTCAACCCTCTTAATGCATCATTCCAGGATGTTTTATGGACCAGGTGGACCTTATGCCCTATTTGCTGGCAAGGATGCTAGCAGAGCTTTAGCAAAGATGTCTTTTGAAGAGAAAGACCTGACTGGGGATATCTCTGGTCTTGGCCCTTTTGAACTTGATGCCTTGCAGGACTGGGAATACAAGTTTTTGAGCAAGTATGTAAAGGTAGGCACCATAAAAAAATCAGTCCCAGTAACCGAAGCAGAATCCACAGGTGAACCATCAGGATCAGCCTCTCGTGATGCCGCCGCCGCCGCTGCGGAGCACATTGAGGAGAAAAATGGCCCATCTGAAGCCGAAGCTGTTAAAAGTGAGGAACCACTTTCAAGTGCGAATGCGGATAAAGAGTAATAATGGTTGGATTGTCTCCCAACCTACAATATATGGATACTGTCTCCTGGAGGCGATGTGAATGATTAACCCTTTGCGAATGTATGAAGAAAATGTGAGAGATATTAATTATCACTTTCCCTACTCTAGTCCGCCCCTTTCCAAATAATTGTCAATGTTTAATTCGAGTTATTTTGTGGATTCAGTCCTCTATCTCTGTGTTTGTTTTTTTATCAAGTATCCTTCTATTTTGTAGCAATATTGCTTGAGATATGATTAGGTATTAAATATGAGCATTTTCTTAATGGAGTTTGAATTTTAGTTAGTGATATTATGAGGGATTAATCCATCCTGTTAACCAAATCTCCATTGGCATTCAGTCCTTAAACCGTAAAAAGGTTTTAATCATTTAGGGGCGACAGCTGATCATGGGCTTATGGTATTATTATGTCATCCAGCCCTTTAATGCATTTCTCTATATTTTCTTATAATCTTATTTTCACAATCTTATTATCTGATTAAAGTATATACTAATACTAGTATACACTTGTTAATATCTTGATTTTAAAAACGAGAATTTTTCTTAGTGTTATGTTTGATAGTTTATTATTTCATCCCAAATCTTGTTAAGAAGAAAACACCTAAATGTCAAAACTGGCAATCAAGCTTGACAGTCTGCACCTTCATCATTATGCTGTCAAGCTCGCTGATGCAAGGTCGAGTTGTGGGGATCTGTAGTGGCCGCAAGGTGCAAAAGTTCAAAATGTCACCCTAATTTCTTCCCCCCCCCCCCCCCCCCCAAACGCCCTAATTTTCATATACGTGCACGAATATTCTAAATGACGAATCAAACCAAAAAGGAGGGAATATTTTCGTAAAAAGAAGTGGGGAAAAGAAAACTAAAAACGAGATTAGTCATATTTTAGGCCATTTCCATAAGGCTTGATATCATTCTCATGAATAAATGGTGACTAGGTGAAGTGAAAAAAAATCAATTCTCTCGCAGTAAATTCTATTATTTGAGTTTTCGGATGAAAAAAAAATTTCGTTAGAAATGTCACCCTATCTGAAATACAACAATGCACCAAAAAGAAAAAAAAAAAAAGAAAAGAAAATCAACAATGGTCAACTTCAAAATACTCTCCAAAACCACAATATATGATATTTTTTAAAAATCTTACTTAATTTAAAATATAGGCCATTAGATAACTTTTGTGATTGTTTTTTCAATTACGCCCTTATTATTTTTTTATTTGAAAAAATGATGCTTTAAAATTTTAATTATCATTATCAAATCATTTATATAGGATATTTAATAATGGTAAAATTAAAAAGATGTAATTTTTTTAAAAAAAATTAAAGTTTCAAGTGACATTTTTTTTATAAATCGTGAATTAATTATCAATACATTATATTTTGGTCCAAAGGAGGAGACTACACTACATAATACCAGATAATTATATCAGGAGGGGGAAAAAAAACAGGGAGAGCAATCATAGTGAGTGAGAAACGTTGTGCCTGAAGGAAAATTTAAAAGTTAAACACACCAAATAATGTAACATTATTCACGTATTAAGTTTTGATTGAATTATTTAATGATAAATATTCAGTAGAACAATCTTGCTGAAGAGAGGTGGATATCAAACACTAAAGTCAGCTCCTTTAGCAATTTCAGCATTTAATTTGGACTAATGATTTAAAAAACCAAATCAAACCGGTTGGTCAAACTGTTGACCACTATCATAAACTGTTTAATTTGAATTAAAAAATTATTTTTATGATTGAACTAGATAAGATTAGAGTTGAGCTACTATTAAGTCGGGAATTATAGTTGAAATGAAAGCTGGAGCAGTTTTTAAAAAATTGGATGATTTTGAATATAATATTTAAAAAAGCTTAAATTTTTTTTAAAAAATAGAAAATTTAAAATTAGATCCTACTAAAAGTTAATTTTATTTTTGGATAATTTACGTATATAAAATATGATTTGAGATTATTTTTTTATAAAGATGTTGACAATTTTAAGTGCATGCAGATACTTTTGAATCTACTTATCTATAATGTAACCAAAATTTATCGACATTTGGCAAGTTATAAAATTGTACTTCCTCTATTTCAAATTATAAGACACTTTTAGAAAAAAATCTTACATATCAATAAACATCATTAAATACACCTAACAATCTTATCTTTCCAAAATAAAAATATAAACTTTTAAAAATACCCATTATTTAATGTATTAAAAAGAAAAGGGACAAAAATTAATTATAAAGAGAGAAACGGTAATATTGAAATTGATAAATTTAATAGAATTTTAATCTACCCAAAGTATCTTATATTTTAAGACAAAAAAACTCCTTCAAAAGTGTCCTATAATTTAAGACGGAGGGAATAATTTATTCATATTATATCATTTTATTAACATCCTATATATTTTTATTATATTTATTATATATATATATATTAATATTATTTTTATTTAATTATTATATTACAGTTAAATCAATGATCTAATCAATTAAATCATAAAAACTGAAAAACTGTTGACTTTTACAACTCAGCATCCAATCCATCTTTTAAAACATTAATTTGAACTACACCATCACCGAGTAGGGCTGAACCCTAACCATTTTCATAGACCCAGTTCATTCAAATGCTCCATCCGCCGATCAAAGCAATAAGCTCGAGAATTTGAAGGAATTTTAGGGATAAAAAACACTCAAAAGACACATATCACTAATTTGGGGACTCGCTTATATTTAAGGGACATCGACTCTGATTTAACGTTAGGAACAACATTGAAAAGTTTTAATAAATTTAAAGACAATATTCCATTATTTAATAGTTCAAGATATTGAGTACTGTTGACAATATACTATAAGAGCAAAAACATCTTAACTCTTTAAAAATTTAGTTACTGAAAGATCGAACTTGGAAGGTGGGGTTAGTCTTCTCCCCATAATCGAGGGCTAAGGGCACATACTCGGAACTCGGAAGGACAGTATCAAAATGAAAATAGGCCAAAAAAGTTAATCCATTAGTTTTCTGTAGTTCTATTTTCTCTTGGCCTTTCCCACTATCAGTACATAAAGAAGGAAAAGAAAGAGATGGATGGGGGATTTCGTTTTTCTATCCAAAATTATACAGGTTACTAGGAACACAACTTCAAAAAAGTCTCCTGTTAAAAGCAGAATATCCGCGTATGTCCATTCAGTTAAGTGTAGTGTAATACCTTCTCTGCGATGAAGAAGGGAAAGAATTTATATCTTCTGATCTGCAATCAGGATTGGACAATGCAGCGTTCTGGAGTGGCGGTGTCATAAAATATGACTGAATTTGGGAGCCAGGACTCTCTGAAATTGAACTGCCAGATGACAAAAATCCTTGCTCTGAAAAGTTGCATGAAAATCGTACTTTGCCGGAATTACTAAAATCAGAAGGGCATGGGCTGTAGCTTGGAGGAGAAAAGCTTCGACGATGCTGTGAGTTGATACCAGATGAAAACAGATTTATACCATTACTGTCGTGAAACGAAGTTGGATGTTCTGGCAGCATAAAATGTAATGGGCCAGGCCAATATGTTTGGCTTCTAACACTTTGGGATATAACTGCAGGACCAGACCGCTCTGGAAGAAGAATTAATCTTGGAGATTCAGTATTTGACATAAGCCCTGCTATCCTTACCTTCAAAACCCTACCATCTATTTCTAAACCGTTCAAATGAGTCACAGCTTCCTGTGCATCCGTGGCATTGTCAAAAGTGACAAATCCATACCCTTTACAAATTCCAGTTGTTCGATTCTTGATAGCTTTTACTTCAGTGATCTTACCAAATGGAGAAAACAGCTCAGATAATCTCTTGTCATCAAACGCTTGAGGTAGATTGCCAACATAAAGATTATTCATCAATGATTTCTTTTCTGGCCTCCGTTGTCTACTCTGTGTTGAACTGAAGCTAAAACCAGAACCAGAACCCTGCTCAGAGTCATTCTGTGGAGATAGTACGTCCAAGGGACAGGCAGGTATTGAATAACTGGTACTAAAATATGTATTGCATGAGTTCAGTTTGAAAGTTGATTGAAGGTCAGGGCAGGCATATGACTGGTGTCCCACGTCACCACAAACATAGCACACATTTTCATCCCTAACTGTTCCATTCAGCATGGCCAGCTCCTTTAATTGAGCTTCCTTGTGCTCATTTCTTCCTTCAACTGGGATTAGCAATTTTTCAACCATGGCAACTGCCGCATCCAGTGAATTTTTGTTCTCTGCTTCTATATACACATGTAAATCCTCTTTAGAAGAATCAGAATTGATGGGTGTTTTCGAGCATCCTTTACCTCTAACATGAATCTTGGCCCCAGTTTCATTTTCCATTCTCTTCGTTGTGTTTCCACGAGGCCCAATTATAAGGCCAACAAAATTGTAATCTGGAAATTCTTTCACTGGTATGTAGAGTTTTTTGAAGAGTTTCGGAGGCTTGTAATCAGGAGGAGGGCTAAAACTTGGGTTTGATTCGATCAACTTTGATATGATGTTTTGACGTTTCTGGACAAGTTTCTGACGAAGTCCTTTTTCTCTTGTATTTATTCTGAGGCCAAGGTCATCATATATTGGTTCTGGTGAAGGAGATCTTTCTCCCTCAAGCTTATCATCATAAAGAGGTCCATGCAATCTTCTATTAATCTCAAGAAGCTCAGCTTTCAGCCCTTGAATTTCAGGATTATTCTCATATCCAACAAGAAAATCTTTTGCAAAATCAGGCAGCTGAAGTGGCCCCAGCATTTTTAGTTGAGTGTCCTCATTGGACCACCTGGTTTTCCTCCTCTTGCAGGTCTGATCGTCTTTTATGCCATCATCCTCAGACTGTGGTTCCCATCTGCTCCGCCTTCGTTTTCCAGAACTCCCAGTACCTTCTTCGGAAGTACAATTATCAATAATAGATGCCACTGCAGTTACAGAGTCATTATTGAGCTCCAGATCTGAGGGTCTGGACTCTAATTTTGGACCAGAAGATCCCACTTGCTTGCACTTCTTTTGTGATTGATAGCATAGCAATGTAGATAATTCACCAGATGCAACATTCAGACACCTCTTCTTATCATTTGATTTAACATATCCTGATTCATGATCGTTCTCTTTAAGAGTTGTTTCATCTAGCTGCTTTTGCTCACCTTCTTCAATGGGATCCTCTCCAGAATCTTCTTCTAGTTCTTCACATGATCCATCTTCTTCATCTTCTACTTCATTTTTAAGTACTCGGAGGTGGTATTCAATTTGATCTCTAGCTTCACCAATCATGTCTGAAAGATTTTGAAGAATGTATTGCTCCATCAGTAATTCCTTCACTGATCCGTCAGTTCGCCCAAGATAACGCTAATTTTCCTTATAATACTGGAAACACATGATGGTCGAAGTTTCTGCATATCTACTACCGACTAATGAACTTTGTATCCAATCTGCGCAAAAGTATTACAACCTGGTTGGGAAGCACCCAATCTATTAAAGCATATAAAAAATTGTAATAGTTTGACCATAACTGAATCCATCGGGAAGCTTAAACATATTAAACCATTTAAACAAACTAAGAATTGCAATAGGAGAAAGTGAGAAACAGGGAGGTGAAACTGGAACCAATGGCATTCACCTTTGAAACATAACACAGGAAAGTGACAGCCAAGAAACCCAAAACTAGGTGGAAGACAATAGGCCACTAAGAATGAAAATGCAGGATGACACATTTGTTAAATTAGGAAGATAATAAACAACCTACAGATTCAAACCAAATAAAACTCCAGATCTTCCCCTTTATTAATAATAAGAGAGACAGATCAAAGTCCTTCCATCATATTGAACTAAAACAAATTTAACAAGAGGACATATACGAGCACGGAGAGGGGAGGGACCCTTGACAAATAATAGGCCTTCAATTAAAATTGCAAATCCAAATAATTGAATTTAATTCAAATATATTCCATTAAAAGTTTCAGGCCGCCAACTGAACTTTCTCTATCAAACCATAGACCCAAGAAATTCTTATGTCAATCCTAAAATAACGTTATCCGTGTTCTGATCATCCAAGGCATACGTCTTCTCAACATCAAAAGCTGCACGAGCAAAGAAACTTCCCCATTCTCCAGAATATCTGTTTTATAGGGCAAATTTTGTGTTAAACATGAATAACGAAACCCGCAGAGTCACGCCATGAATCAATCCTAAGAAAAGCCGATTACATCGGACGTTATACTAGTGCTCAAAACATTGAATCTTAGCATAATTTTCATTCCACCTGTAGTCCAAATGCTTACGTGGTATGAAGGTGGCATCAACCAAAAAACAAAAAAACAAAAAAGATGGAGTCTATAAGATTCTTGAGTAAGAATGGAGCACCATACCTGTCTTCCTCTTTTCACTTTTGAATTTTACAAGACTGTAATCCAGCATGAACGTCGCGCCGACTAATCTTGATCAAAATTTCGTCGACTTTTTCCTTCTCGGCGTGCCGTGCAGCGAAGCGTCACTGAACTGAGGAAAAGAAAAAGACCTGAGAATCCTCTCTTCGTCGGTTCGGCCTCCATAGACTAAAGAGTGTGCTTATCCTGATACTGTCATAGTAATTAACCGCAAATGTGAATAACTAAATGTCATTTTATTGATTAATTAGGATTTTGGCCCATTACTTATTTTTGGATAATGAGAAGTATCCATCCATGCATACTAATGGTCCTACTTCAGGGCCAATAAAACCTTGCAACGACTAAAATTTCTTGGCCAAATTTTTCTTTTTTTTATTAATTAAACTTATTTCTTAGTAAAGTTCAAAGTCTGCCCAGCGAATATGATTAACCTATTTCAATCATTGTTAAAAAAAAAATTGGATAAAAAAAATAAAAAATCCCTTTATTTTTGTTCTTTGACAATATATATATATAATTGATTCATGGGAATAGAGGGGAGAGTAGGGCAGGAAAGAATTTTTTAAAAAAAAAAAGTGGGACAAGGTAAAAAAAAAAAAACACTAATTAAAAACTTTCAAACTCATTTTTCTTTTTTTATTAATTAAACTTACTAGAATTTTCGTTCCAATCCATCCATCTCTTTCTTTCTTTCTTTGTTTTTTTTTTTTTTTTAACTAGCAATGCCATCCACTCATCTCCAACTAAGTATTCCCTAAATTTATACATTTATATAATGTCAATGTATTTTTTGGTCAAACTAGAATGTAATTTTTTTGGGTTAAAAGGAAAAATATTCAAAAAAATTTTCGCTAGAAGCATTTGGTGTTCTTTAAGTCAACAAAGTGCTTAAATACCCATTAACTTTTTAAAATGAGGGCATCCTTCCTTAAGCTGTTAAAATCATTTAACGTCCGTTAACATGGGTCTAAAATATTGAATTAAGGAACAAAAATATCCATAATTTTTTCTTTGAGAGCTTCAAGCATCCTTAAATCAATAATGGTACATAAGTACTCATTAACTTTATAAAAAAAGTCAACTTTTCTTTGAGTTAGTAATTCAAGCAAACTAAGTTTATTTGTATTGGGCTTAAAATGCTCAAACATAAAAAAAAAAAAACCTCACATAGCCACGTCTAGCCTAACACCTTGGGCTTTCGGGCTAGCCTGAATGCCCAAATTATTAAATATTATTTTATTTTATCTTATTCTTTTTTAATCAATTTCAATTTTTATCTCAAAAAATTATGATTTTTAATTTAATTTTGTTGATAATAAAAAGGAATTCAGGTATTCAAATTTAGGATTGGCCCAAATTTCTTTGTGCTTATTCGGGCAGTCTTAAATAAGCCTAAAGTAAAAAAAAATTTCTAAACTTTCAAGATTGGCCTTTAGATTTTTTAAATTTATTTGAGTTGGCCTATTGAACTTAGCCCAAATCATTGGCTCTAACTTTCCCTAATCCATTGAAATAATTTGACATTGAATGTTAAACTTTAAGGATAAAACTTAACAAGTTGGGGAACATTAGTTTATTTTATAAAGTCAATGAGTATTCATGCATCATTTTTAACTTAAGAATACCAAAAGCTCTTGAAAACAAGTTTTTAGGTATGTTTGCACATTATATTTACTTTCTTTTTTAAACAGTCAACTTTAACTTATGCTAGGCAAATTAAATGGGATGGGGAAGAATGCCCTCACTAAATAGAGTTCATGGGTATTCATGTATTGTTATTAACTTAAGAACATTAGACATTCCTAGCAAAAAAAAAAAATTGAGCATTTTTTTCCTTTATTTCATTTTTTTACCAGCAATCCCATCTTCCTCACCACCTTAAACTTAGTACCAAGTGTGAGGATTTCTGTTCTAAATGTTCTTTTATGTGATTTTTTTAATATAAAGAAAATATTTTTAGTAGTAAGAAGGAAGAATATGATTGTCTACAATACAAAGATACTTATAAGCAATCAAAAAAGTTATGAATGCTTGCAGGGAAACCTTCTTAAAAATTGTTGCAATACCAATCATATATTGAGACAATACCACTTTATGTGAATGCATTTGATTACAAAAGTATGACATCCATCACCAAATTTGAACCTATAGTGATAATCATCATCATTAAATATAATGTACATTTTATACTCTATACATGCATGCATGCATATTGTAACATCCTGAAACTAATTACTAATTAAAGGTAAATTAATAAATTAGTGAGTGATTAGGATTTTAGATGGCATATCGATGTTTTAACTCCTTGGAATGTTGAATGGAGATCAAGTCGAAGAACGGGATTTTGGAGCGACATGTACGAGCATGATGGAATTTTCGCTCACTGTACCACACACTGTGGCATACACAGTATGCTTCACGACGCTTGGCATAGAAAATTAATTATTAGTGACGTGTTCAGCTCGTGGAATTAGGGGGAGTTGAAGAGGAATGCTCGAGAGGGAGAGAGGGAGGGAGAAGGCCAACCTCTACTAGGGCTTTAGTTTCTAGGAGCTTGGGAGATATTTTTGACTAATTGCTTACTGAGTAAGTTTCATATTATCCTAAGCTCTGATTCTACCTTAATTTTTCTTTGTTTAAGTTATAGAGAAATGAAATTAGAAAGTTTTAAGGAGTTTATTTCTTACCTTTTAGTAATAAAAGGATTCTTGGGAATTGAACTATGGATTTGTTACTAGTTTGGGAATTAATGGTTAAGCTTTTAAGCAATAAACTTAAATTAGCATTGAATTAATAAATAGAAAAGGGGTGAAAATTAGTATGGATTGGGTTAGAACTTGTGAAAATGAGAGAAAGTTTAATGAGGTAGTTGAGACCTAAAGTAGTTGTTTGAGTATAAATGAATAATTAATTATGATTAATAGTGATAATTAGTACTCGTGGTCAATTTAGTAATTGACTAATAGTGCTAATTTGTGTAGATTGATGTGCTACAGTATGCTTTGGTGTCTTGGAAATGAGTGTGATGCTTAATGATCAAAAGAATGCCATGAATAACCTTGCTAATAACAAAAAAGTTAAGGTGATCGAATAATTCACTTTATTTGATTAATTAGCTTAGTTGTTTGTGGGTAATGATATGACTATATATAAATGCTATGTGTGTATGTGTGTGTTAAAGTTGTTTCATGTTTGCAAAATGAGCGTGGTATACATGAAAATGATTCTAAAGAAATGAACTTCTAAAAGCATACATACATACATATATATATATATGTGTGTGTGTGCATATATATGGTTTGGATTACAAACATATGGTTTGTATATATGAGATGTGAGCATGATCATATTAAAGGGTAGGAGTTTACTCGTAGAGAGAAGTAGTGAAAGACTATAAGGCATATAATCTTCTAAGTGCTCAACAAGATGTGGTGTTAGAGAACCCCTTATGAATGCCCATAAGGGTACGGTGTTAGAGATTTACACTTTTGAGCATCTGTATGATGCAATGTTGGAGTAATGACGCCTTGATCGTCTATGATAAGGGGAAACCATAGTTAGGAAGTGAGACTGAACACCTTGGCTAGGTGATTCTATCACTGAAGTTGTGCTCAAATTAATGTGTATGTAATTGGTCCAGTAGAGCCTTTAATTTTAGTTTGGGTAATATAGAGGCTCGGATGGTAGAATAATTATGCTAGAGTACGAAAATGGTTGGCCAAAATGGATATGCATTTATTTGGATATGTATAATGTGTGTGTGTGTGTGTGTGTGTGTATAAGCCTTACTTGTTTATAGTTGTGTATATTAATTGATAGCTATGAGTTATTCTAGTACTAAGATGATTTTCTCACCTCATAGTTACATTTTTATAGGTTTTGATTGTGAGCAAGGCAAGGGAAAAGATTCAAGACAAGCGTAGTAAAGGCTACAGCTATATTATAGGAGTTTTGTGTAATGAATTCGTATTATAAATGTTTAAGGTTATAAGTTTCCATATGAAGTATTAACATGATTTGATGTGTTTGTGTGGTGATTGTGTAAATCATAGCCTTGATATGTGTGAAGGTGTGACATGTCGTAAATATGACTTGCTAGGCTAAGATTGCATTGCATGTGGATATGTCTATCTAAAAGAGGTAGATGTGGGAGCAATTGGCCGGCATTGTATATATGTGAAATTTTGAAATATAGGCCCTGTTGTGTGAAAAAGGCAGTTTGATAGCCAACTGTGTGATATTTTGTAACTTGTAAGATATTATTGCTTAATCAAGTTAAGTATTTCCTATTGGACATGGTCAAGCTATTGAAATAGCTAATGATGTGTGGGTTGGAATAGGGACACTCGAGTTGGGGGAAATGAAAAAAAGGTCATTTTGCATCTAAGTATCTAAACAATATATCAAATTGAAACCAAACCTATGTCATTAGATAGCTTATCTTATAAGCTTCATATAGGCGTTGGAATCATTCAAATCGGACATTGTATGAGAAAATGGTTCACATATGAAATTTGTGTTAATGAACTATCATAGTAGCAAAAAATTTGTCGTGTATGCTGTGGCGCATGATAATATGCCACGACACATGACACAAAATAAGATCTCATGGTTTCGTACCACATACTATGACACATGTGGCACTAGCCACAATACATGGCCATTTTTCAAAAATTGATTGTTTTGCTTTGGTTTCCATAATGAGCGATGATTATGCACATTATAAATTTTCATTGTACAATAAAAATATATTTTTGAATGATTTCTAATGTTTTTGAAATTGTTTTGGGATTTCAAATATTTAAAAGTATTTATTTTTCTTATTTTGAATATTTATCATTTTTATAATGCGAGGGTTGTGTGAGACCTTAAATGGTGAGCATGTGAATTAAGTGTAATAGTTTGGTAATGTCAGGTGGACATTACACACACACAGACATATAAATATATAACCTTTTGGATGTAAGAACCATTCGTAGTGAACACAAGGTTAAATAAGGATTCAAGTAGTTTCTTGATAAATCTTCATTCAAATTATCAAATAATTTTTCCTCAGAGTCAATTTAGGGAATAACATGGAAAGTCCTTTTACTAATTAAATACTTCATCTTTATTTAGAAGTTGATACATCAAGTTTTCCCTATTGATGAGGTACTATAGTTACTTTAGTGTCTCTCTATGAAATATATCACATTGAT